TTACTTAAATAAGTTATCTAAATCATGAACTTAAAAGCATATTTAATGTGTTTTATTAATACTCCAATTATTCTGCCTTTGACAAGTGGAAATCTCTTCAGATTGGTTTCTGACCTTTTGACATAACCCCAATAATCTTTGATAGCTTCTTTGCTTTATAATATACCAAGCTGTTGATGTTCATTTCATGTATTACCTGACTTACACCTGGAATCAGCCATTTCTTCAAGGAGTGAGCCCAACTGCTTTTGGTAGGAATAGCATTTGAAGAACACAATCTGGATGCTATAAGTTCTCCTCACTATTGAATTGGTCATTGTTTCTAGGCCATTCTATTACCAAACAGTCTATCACAGTTGCTAACTGAGGAAACAAATGAATGAGCCCTGGTGCACTGGTCTCCATCCCAGGTGATCCCAAGGGGACTAGACAGGTTGAAAGCATAGCTCCTGGCTAAGTTTGCCAATGGTGTTGCCCAACAAACTTGGATAAACTCATCACAAGAGAAGCCAGTAACTCAAGAGACAAGGGTTTGGAAAAGAGAAAGGGAGAAATTTATTTCAAGTGCTGACAGTCAGGGAAAGTGGCAAGCTCCAGCCTTAACAACTGACCTCTCCACCCACAGGATAGACACCTAGAGTTTTATAGGGAGGGATTCAGCAGTACATAAAAGAAGGCAAACAGCACGTGATCACGGGTGGGGATTGGTGTGTGTTCAGCCTATGATCATGGGCAGAAAAGGGGACACTGGGGTGTCGTCTTCTAGGCATTCCCTTGCTATCAGGGCTTTTTTTGTTTGGTATATTGGAAAGTTCCAGGTCATTGCAAAGCACCTTCGTCAATGTCTTAAAAAAAGTGCAATAATAAATAAGCACAATGGGTTTTAGTTAGAGCCTGAGTTAAGCAGTCTTGTCTATTTCTGTTGTTTTTTTTCAAGTTTATTTATTTTGAGGGAGAGAGAGTGCACACGCACATGAGCAGAGGAGGGGCAGAGAGAGGGAGAGAGAGAATCCTAAGCAGGCTGCACACTCAGACGCAGGACTCAGTCCCATGAACCATGAGGTCATGATCTGAGCCGAAATCAAGAGTTTGTCACCCATCCAACTGAGCCTCAGTATTACTCATTGAATCCTAACAATCATCTCATTTTATGAATAAGGAAACTGAGGCTTAGCTTGAGTAACTTGCTCAAGTTTCCATACCTATTATGAGGTAGGGCTCATACTCTGGAACACACTGTGGAGGTTTCTCAAAAAGTTAAAAATAGAACTACCCTATGATCCAGCAGTTGCAGGTTATTTACCCAAGGATACAAAAATACAGATTCGAAGGGCTACATGCACCTTGATGTTTATAGCAGCATTATCAACAATAGCCAAACTATGGAAAGAGCCCAAGTGTCCTTTGACTGATGAATGGATAAAGGAGATGTGGCACATATGTACAATGGAATATTAATTAGCCATCAAAAAGAATGAAATCTTGCCATTTGCAATGATCTGGATGGAGCTAGAGTGTATTATGCTAAGTAAAATAAGTCCGTGAAAGACAAATACCATATATGTGGAATTTAGGAAACAAAACATGAACATATGGGAAGGGAAAAACGGGCGGGGAGCAGACCTTAACTGACTCTTAACAGTAGAGAACAAACTAAGGGTTGATGGAGGGAGTTGGGTTGGGGATGGGCTAAACAGGTAGTGGGTATTAAGGAGGGTACTTGTTACAATGAGTACTGGGTGTTAATATGTAAGTGATGAATCACTAAATTCTACTGAAACCAATAGTACACTATATGTTAACTAGAATTCAAGTCAAAATTTGAAAAAAAAATGTATATATATAATAGAAAAGATATATGGAAGCATCCCAAGTGTATATCAATAGATGAATGGATAAAGAAAGTACACACATACATACACACACATACAAAGAGGTAGGGCTCAGACTCTTGACTATTTTTCATCAGACCGTTCTTAATCATATTATTATGTCTTCTTACATTTTTCACATTGCTGGTATTTTCTTTTTCCTCTAGTTACCCTTATTATTTGTGGGATTAGACTATATTTTTTAGGTCTGTCTGATTGTTATAATGGTTCTCTTCCTGTTTTCCTTGTTTTTTAGATTTGTTGCTTATTCTGTTTATTTTATTTGTTTTATAGTGAGTTTGGCTAATAAAAAACATGTTCCTAGAATTAACAGGGAACTTTGGAAACAGGGGTAACTGAGATAGGATTCTTTTACTATCTGTCCAGGAGAAAATAACAGCATTTTTTACTTAAATATGTGTTAAGGATGATAGAATGTTAAAGTTAGAAGTAATCTGGAGCTCTTGACTGGCTTAGTTGGTAGCGTATGCGACTCTTAATCTTGGGGTTGTGAATTCAAACCCCACACTGGAGGGAAAGTTTACTTTAAAAAAAAAAAAGTGAAATTAGAAGTAATGTTAGAGAGACAATAATAGTCCAAACTCTTCACGTTTTAGTGAGAAGATTGAAGCCAGAGAAGTGATATAACTTTCCTAAGGTAACATAGGTAGTGACAGAGCCAACAGCTATAATATAGGTCTCCTGATTCCTAGTCTCCTGCTTTTTCCACTGCTTCTGATTACCTTTCCCTGTTACTGTTAAACCTAGCCCACCCTTTCCTTTCCTTGGTTATAATCTACTCATTATACATACTTTCCTGCAATGGCTCTGGGATGTTAAAAGGAATTTTAGGTTCTAAACCAAAAAACCTGGAACAAGTTCTTGCTTATTACTACATAGTCCCTAGCAAGTCTCTTAAAGAACATCAGTTTCCTACTTTTTTAGGATGGAAATAATAGTCCTCACATATCTGTTAGTGTTATTGCATGGCCAAAATAAGGTAATGTATGTTAGCGCAGTGTCAATTTAAATACTATTAAACAATGTATAAACAGTGTTTCAAGAAAGTATTCTTTGTTAAAAGATTAATTGAAAAAGAATTACAAGATTTTAGATGTAGAAACAAGCATAGTAAAAACTCTCTTAATAACTCCCACCTCACTAAATTATTAGAATAACCTATATTCTCCATCCCCCTTGTAAAATATACTGATATCTACAGTATAGATATCACTGACCTTTCCTGTCCATAAACTTCAGTTCCTGAGACTTGATTGGTAGGCTTTCCAAGAAGTATTTGTCTTGTTCATCTGCTTGAAGTTGTTGTAATTGTATAACTTAATTTAATATTAGATAAACTGATGAAAATGAATTCAAAGACAAAGATCGTTATTTCTGTGAAAGTTGTAATGAACAGCTAGGGAAAAAGTTGATAAAGGTGAATTTATTTTTAAAAGTACTTTCAAATTTGGTATGGCTGAGACAACCATAGGGAAATCTTTCATGAAAATTTAGAAGGATTCTGTGTTCATATTACTTGAAAGTTTCTTTGTTTATTCCTCTTGATAAAAACACTAAAATTGAACCTATAGATCCACTCAAAGTAAAGTCCTTAGATTGACATTCGGAGATTTGCAAATTAAAGTCCACTTATGTTTAAAATTTTTTAATGTGTAAGGTGTGTATGGATCAGTTATGATTCCTTATTTTAAAAGGCTTTTTTTTTTTTTAATTAATTGGCCAACTACTGATCCTGGTCATATTGAATAAAAAGGCTTCTATTTCTATTGTAAATCATTTGAAGAAAAATTGTTTCTAGGATAGCTTGGTAGTTATAAGCTCAGGTTTTGAAGTCAGATTTGGGTTTGCATTTTGGCTCTGCCACTTACTAGTTCTATGACTTTGGGAGTTACTTAACTTTTATGACCTTTAGTATCTACATCGATAAAACAACATGGTAATTGTTATAATCATTAAAATGCATATAAACAACATAGCAGAGGGCTTGTCACACTGTATGCATGCAGATGTTCACTGCTTTTTGTAATTTAAACTTTTGAAATTTTAATTTTTTTTTTCAACGTTTATTTATTTTTGGGACAGAGAGAGACAGAGCATGAACGGGCGAGGGGCAGAGAGAGAGGGAGACACAGAATCGGAAACAGGCTCCAGGCTCTGAGCCATCAGCCCAGAGCCCGACGCGGGGCTCGAACTCACGGACCGTGAGATCGTGACCTGGTTGAAGTCGGACGCTTAACCGACTGCGCCACCCAGGCGCCCCTAAACTTTTGAAATTTTAAAGAAGAGGTTCTTGGGGTACACACGCTCTCTGTCTCTCCAACAACAACAAAAAGAGCTTATCAGTAATGAATGATACTTCATATTAAAATAAAAATGAACTAGCCAGATTATTCAAGGCAGATATCAATGCTGCTTCTTCAGAAGCTTAATCCTCCCAATGAAAAGAGGTCCCTTCCTCTGGAGTCCATGCTATCTTATCGGAACTGTTAATAAAAAATTTAGTAGGGGCACCTGGGTGGCTCAGTCAGTTAAGCGTCTGACTTCGGCTCAGGTCATGATCTCGCAGTTTGTGAGTTGGAGCCATGCGTCGGGCTCTGTACTGACAGCTCGGAGCCTGGAGCCTGCTTCGGATTCTGTCTCCTTCTCTCTCTGCCCCTCCCCCACTTGTGCTCTGTCTCTCTCTGTCTATCAAAAATAAATAAATGTAAAAAATATAAAATAAAATAAAAAGTTCAGTAAAGTAATGTTGATAATCACTGTTCCAGCTCTCTACTTACAGTGAAAACTCCTTGAGGTCAAGGATCATCTATCAGACTCTAGTATATAGCATCAAGTATATAGTGAGTGCATAATAAATGCTCTGTTGAATAAAATGAATATTTTAGGTTATTAAAAGGGATAAAATAATGATTTTTGTCAGAGTTCATTAAAAAACCATAACAGATTTTAATGTAAGTGAATTTTGACTTTTGAAAAATTAATAGTATATAATATAGCAAAGAGGAAGCTGAAATCAGTTATCTTTACCTATGTCAAGACTATAAGTTAGCACCATAGGGTTCTAATTAAAAATTACAGATTTTCACTAATCTTTATTTTCTCTTCTAGAGTATTCCAGACAGAGTCTCATATGAAAATAGTAAAGTCAGAAATTACAGGTAAATATGTTATTGCAATCTCTGCTAAATCTGTTTTCTATAAAATTTTCCTGTGGCTGGGGCACGTGGGTGGCTCAGTTTTTTGAGTGTCCAACTCTTGGTTTCAGTTCAGGTCATGATCTCACAGTCATGGTATCGAGCCCCAAGTTGGGCTCTGTGCTGAACATGGAGCCTGCTTAGGATTCTCTCTCTCCCTCTCTCTGCCTCTCTCCTGCTTGTGTGCACCTGTGCATGTACATGCTCTCTCTCAAAATAAATGAACTTTAAAATTTCACTGTTGCCATTTAACCAGGTAATTGATAAAACTTAATAAACTTACTGTCTATCTCACTGCTTAAAAGGTATAACTTGCGGGGCACCTGGGTGGCTTCAGCTCAGATCTGTGATCTGTATATCCGATTTCTCCAGCTCAGGTCATGAACTCCCTGGCCAGTGAGTGGAGTGGTCTTCATGGCTCGGGCCTTGTGATTTGGTTGTGCTGTACATGCCGCCTTGACAGCTAACAGAGCCTGAACATTGCTTTGGGATTCTGTGCTGCCTCCCCCCCCCCCCTCTCACCCCCCCCTGTTCCTCCCCTGCTCGTGTTCTGTCTCTCTCTCAAAAATAAATAAAAATGAGAGGCGGGCGTGTTTAGGAGTCGGTGTTGTGCGTCCACTTCTCAGCCAGTCACGTTAGTGCCGTAAGCGTCTCGGAGTTCTGGTGAGTTCCCAAGGGAGGCTCTGGGCTTGATGGTCTGAGCCTGGAGCCTGTTTCCATTCTGTGTCTCCCTCTCTCTCTGCCCCTCCCCCATTCATGCTCTGTCTCTCTCTGTCCCAAAAATAAATAAAAAACGTTGAAAAAAATTTTTTTTAAATAAATAAATAAAAATATATTTTTTTAAATTTATTTTAAAATAAGTGTAACTTGAGCCATGAGAGGCAGAAAGTAAGGTGGGTATATAGTAATTTCTTTTTTTTTAATTGCTATTAATTTTTCTAATGTTTTATCAGTGTATCCTTGAACAAATTTAATTTTTATTTTATTTTTAGAAACAGATGCAGGAGAAAATGTTCTATTTATACAGTAAGTAAAGAAAATGTGATTCACATTTTAAAAGCTCTTTATCCCTGTTAAATGCAGTGTTTTTAAATTAAATTTTTTTTGTTTTTATTTTTGTGTCCCTTTTGTGGAATACTTAAGGTTAATTCAGAAAACAGATTCTTTGCAGAATTTAATATATTGCTTTCTCTCATAAGTGTGTGCATTGTCCAGCTTATCTTTTTAACAGAGTGATGAAACACTCTGCTTTCACATATAAATTCTTAAATACAACAGCTAATACAAGGCAATACCAAGTTTTCAGATTATTTCATTAAATTAGTCTTTCTTATCATAATATAGAGAAAAATAAATACCAATAGCTCTTGCACAAATGAAAAGATGTTTATTTTCATTCATCATAAGAGAAATACAAAGACTGTTAATGAGATATAATTTTTCATCTAATCATCTGAGAATATAGGTAAAAAGTCACTCATTGTTAGTGGATGTTAAATTGAAGAAGGCAGCTGGCAGTATCATTCAAAATTTTAAATATACATGTCCTTTGACTCAGCAATTTCATGCCTGGGAATTTATTTCATCAAGATATTTGTAAATGTTTGAAATGATAAACATGTAAGATTATTCACTGCAGCATTTACAAATTTTCCGTGTAATTGACTACTGTTGAGCTGGAAAAAAAGATTCTTCTTATATACTGATGCAGAAAATACTCTAAGCTTAGGCTTTTCACAGTTAACCACTGTTGATAATTTTGGATGTCCTTGCAGAAATTTAAATGTATTTCCAAGTGATGTTTATCTTTAGTTTTTTTTTTAAGACAAAAATGAGAACATTTAATAGTATGTCTTGTAACACTTTCCATGTTGTTATATATAGATATAACTCAATCTTTTATAATTTGTTGTATGTCTGCATCAGCATTTAGTCAGCTGCCTATTGATGGACATTTGGGTTGTTTTACCTTTTTTTTGTTTGGTTTTCAGGATGAATTTCTAGAAAATGAGTCGCTTTATAGGTTGTTTTTTTGAAAAAAACAGCGGCATATATTAAGCATATTTTTATAGTATCCTTGAAATTAACAAGGCCTTAAGACCAATCTGAAAAGGGTCCTTTAATTGCCTTGTAATTTTTTCCGTCAGAGGAGTCTTTTTAAAGGCTGTCTTTGTATTTTTCTGCCAGTCACCCTATGAAATCCTTAGACCTTCCCTACCCTTTCTAACTGTTGTGATACTTGGTAATTGTTTGGGGTATAGATTTTGAAAATACTTTTTAATTTTTAGGAACAAGAATCCAGAAGATAACTACTGTGAGATTACTGGTGAGTATGACCACAATACTTTTCTTACCACATACCTTTCTCTTTATCCAAATTTCTGACAAAATAATGTGTAAAAGAACTGTGGGAAAAAAATGTAAAGAGAACTCTGTTCTTTACACAAAATCTTCACTTTGATATTTTGCAAACTTCTGTTATTTCTGCCAGACTTGCTGTTCCTCTTGTTTTCTCTATTTTTGGATTCACACTCAGTCATTCACTCCAGTCAGGAGTTGAGTCATTTTTGAACTTTTCCTCATTCCCCATATCCACTTGGTTTCACTCTATTCTTTATCCTAAATGTCCTGCAAATCTGTTACCTGCAAATCATTATTCTTTTGTGGGGTACTATTGTACTTAGTTTCTTATCCTTATGAACCATTTTATATATTTCTAAATCTGATATTACCCACTGACTTAAAATTGTTCAATGACACTTTTTTTGCTTATAGGATAAAACCCACCTCTTTGGCATAGGCTTAGCCCTTTGTAATTTGGCTGGTCTTCTCCAATCTTTTTTTTTTTTTTAAGTTTTTTTTTTTTTTTTTTTAATTCTTGAGAGAGAGAGAGAGAGAGAGAAAGTGTGAGTTGGGAAGGGCAGAGAGAGAGAAGGAGAGAGAATTCCAAGCAGGTTCCACACTGTCAGCGTGGAGCCTGACGGGCTCGACATGAGGCTCAAACTCATAAACCATGAGATTATGGCATGAGCTGAAGTCAGACACTTAACCAACTGAGCCACCCAGGTGCCCCAACTTCTCCAATCTTATCTCCTGCCCTTTATAGACATACTTTGTTCTAGCCCATGAAAAAGTATTTATAGTTCTCCATGTTGACTTTTTTTCTGCCTGTATCCATTTATAAATGCTGTTTCTTTTATCTGAAGAGACCTTCCTATTCCAAATTGCCTATCGGTCTTCTCATTTTTCACTTAACTTAGTTTTTCACTTAGCTTAATTTCAGTCCTATTCAAAATAGCCAGTCCATTGTGCCTGGCTGGGTCAGTCAGTGGAGTATGCAACTCTTGATCTCAGGATTGTGAGTTTGATCCCCACAGTGGGTTTAGGGATTACTTAAAAATAAAATCTTAAAAAAAAAAAATAGCCAGTCCACAAAGTGTTATAGTCCATGACAGAAAAGGAACTTGCACTATAATGTAAATCAACTCTGGCAGTAAGCTACTGTTGAATTAGGTGACATTTTTTTTCTTAGTAAAACTTTCTTGATGAAGGAAATATCACATGATTTACATTGGTTGCAAGTTCCTTATTTCATCATGAATTGGTAACAGGCAGTTCACAGATTGGCACCACACACTAAGTAGTACTGGGTTAAATGGAGCCTTCTCTGACAAAACCAAGGAATCACTCTGTCTTGTACTATCATACCATACCTTTTATGTCTCAGTCTTTTGTAGAATTTACACATTGTATTTCAGGTATTTACTTCTGGCTGTCTTATTAAACTAGGAACTCTGAGTCCAGAAATTTTGTTTATTCTTTGTGCCTTGGTAGATAGTTGAGTTTTGAGGCATATAATGGGTTCTGAGTAAATATTTGTTGGATAAATGAATGAAAGCTTGATATATAAGTAAAACTTTGAACAAAAAACCTATAATGGGGCACCTGGGTGGCTCAGTCAGTTGAGCATTCAACTTCAGCTCAGGTCATGAACTCGCAGTCTGTGAGTTTGAGCCCCACTTCGGGCTCTGTGTGATAGCTCAGAGTCTGGAGCCTGCTTCAGATTCTGTGTCTCTCTCTGTGCCCCGACCCCAATCACACTCTGTCTTTCAAAAATGAATAAAATGTTAAAAAAAATTTTTTTTAATAAAAAAGCCTGTAATTACTTCATCATATTCAATCAGGGTTGCCATAAACTCTTTAAAACTTTTTTTAATGTTTATTTATTTTTGAGAGACAGAGAATGAACAGGGGAAGGGCAGAGAGAGAGGGAGACAAAGAATCTGAAGCAGGCTCCAGGCTCTGAGGTGTTATGTTATTACAGAGCCCAATGTGGGGCTCGAACTCACAAACTGAAATCATGACCTGAGTTGAAGTTGGATGCTTAATGTCTGATAGAGCCATCCAGGTGCCCTGCTATAAACACTTTAAAATGTTCTAAAGATTTTTGTGATGTGTACCAGTGTTGTATGGAAGTGTTGAATCACTATATTGTACACCTGAAACTAATATTACACTGTATGTTAACCACTTGGCTGACTGGAATTTAAATAAAAACTTAAAAAAATGGTCTAAAGATTTGCCTTTAAATTTAAGTATTATAAAATGTATTTCCTGTTTTATATAGCGTCTTCAATCCCTTCCTATTTCGAAAGTCCATTTGTGACCTAAATCTTTATATTTCAATTCAAAAAGTCTTGAGTCTAATCTCTTATTTTCATTCTCATTTTCTCTTACCCAAACATAAATTTTCATCCTCTTTATATCTGCAATATTGTAGCAGCTCCTCATTGGTTCATCTTCTCTTAAATCTACTTTCTTCTTCTCTGGAGTTATTTTTTATAAAACGCACATCTCATCATGGAAGCATCTAGATCCTTTAACGTAGAGGCACCTGGGTGGCTCAGTTGGTTAAGTGTCCGACTTCAGCTCAGGTCATGATCTCGGGGTTTGTGAGTTCGAGCCCTGCGTTGGGCTGTGCTGACAGCTCAGAGCCTGGAGCCTGCTTTGGATTCTGTGTCTCTCTCTGTGCCTCTCCCCTGATCATGCTCTGTCTCTCAAAAATAAATAAACATTAAAAAAAATGTTTAGATTCTTTAACATAAAATAAAAGATGCTTCAAAATCTTTATCTAACATTTCATTTATTTTATTTTATTTTTTTATGAGAGAGAATGCGCATGAGTCAGGGAGAGGGACAGAGAGAAAGAGAGAATCTCAGGCAGGCTCCCTGCAGTGCTTGATATGGGGCTGAATCCCATGACCCTGGGACCGTGACCTGAGCTGAAACCAAGAGTCTGACATTCAACCAACTGAGCCACCCAGTTACTCCTTACTCTAACATATCTATCTCATCAGCTGGGTATTCTTTCCCATGTAACCTCTACTATCCAGAGAATAAAAATAAAATGGAGGGAAAAAAAAAGTACTCCAAACTTTCCAACTTTACAGTTCCCCCTTTAAAATCACTATATCCGTGGGGCGCTTGGGTGGCTTAGTCGGTTGGGTGTCTGACTTCAGCTCAGGTCATGATCTCCTGGTTTGTGGGTTCGAGCCCCGCGTCTGGCTCTGTGCTGACAGCTCAGAGCCTGCAGCCTGCTTCGGATTCTGTCTCTGGCTCTCTCTGCCCCTCCCCTGCTTGTGCTCTGTCTCTCTGTCTCTAAAATAAATAAACATTAAAAAAAAATTTTTTTTTTTTTTAAATCACTACATCCTAGGAGTGCCTGAGTGGCTCAGTTGGTTAAGTGTCTAACTCTTTTTTTTTTTTTTTAATGTTTATTTCTGAGACAGAGACCGAGCATGAGTGGGGGAGGGGCAGAGAGAGAGGGAGACACAGAATCAAGCAGGCTCCAGGCTCCGAGCTGTCAGCACAGAGCCCAACACGGGGCTCGAACTTACAAACCATGAGATCATGACCTGAGCCGAAGTCGGTCACTCAACCGACTGAGTCACCCTGGCACCCCAAAGCGTCTAACTCTTGATATTGGCTCAGGTTATAATCTCACAGCTGTGAGATTGGGCCCCGCATTGGGCTCCATGCTGAGCGTGGAGCCTGCTTGGGATTCTCTCCCTCTCTCTGCCTCTCCTTCACTTGATCTCTCTCTCTCAAAATAAATAAATAAACTTTGATAAAACAAATTTACCACATTCTAAAAATATTTCAGTCACATAGAGAATATAATAATCGCTGATCTCTCTGTCCCTAAAATGGGACAATTGGAAGTCTTAATGAAATTTAATACCTAAGTTCTTATGAAGGGCTTAGTAACTGATAATACTAAGTAAATACTCATAAATGATAAAGAACCTAAGGAAAGAAAAATCAGGCTCTTGATAATATATTTTTTTCTTATTGACTATAGTTTTTTCTTCTTTTTCAATAGGAATGAACACATTGCTTTGTGCTCCCATTCAGTCTCAGATGCAACAGAGAGAGGTATGAGTTCATGCATGTGCCTTTATATTTTAGTCTCCCTTGATAGTTAACACACAAAAACATTAATGGTAATGGCATGATTTAGTGGTTAATTACCAAAGTGGACCAGCATAGACTGGAAAACTTCTTACCTTTTCAGTTAACTAAGGACAGTTCAGTCACAACCAGTATAAATAATAGGGAAATATATTAATTATATCAGGACTTCTCAAACTGTAATGAGCATATGAACTCAGGATTTTGTTGAAATATAGATACTTTTCCAGTACATCTGGCGCAGGCCCTGTGATTCTTTACTTCTAATCTCCTGATGATACTAGTGCACGGACCGTACTTTGAGCAGCAAGAAGTTAGGCTGTATCCTTACAAATAAAACCACTGCTTTAAGATTCAAAAAGAACCCAACTTCTAAGAGTAGAGCATACTATAAATTAGCTGTCATGCACTTATCCCTTTCTCAGTCTTTTTTATTTAGCATGAGAATGACCTATCTAATTAGTAATTAGAATTTTTATTATAATTGACATCGTCAGTCTTTTTCATGTTTTAGTCCTTCTAGTAGGTGTATAATTAACCTTGAACTTTCAATTTGTGCAAAAATATGCTACATACCATGTCACTGATTCAGACAAACAGTATATCATGAAACCATCGTTGAGGATTGTTTATATAGTACTCTGTATATAGTACATGTTATAAAATACCTTTCTAAAAGTTTGCATTTGATCTAATCTCCTACATTTTGCTTTCATTATAGATTTCAGTTGCAGAACACAGCCATGAAAAGAAACATGCACATGACCAGACAGTCGTCTTTTCAGATGAAAACCAGATGGATCTAACAACAAGTCACACTGTGATGATTACCAAAGGCCTTTTAGATTGTACCAAAAGTGAAAAATCCACTAAGATAGATACCACATCATTTCTGGCTAACTTAAAGCTCCATACTAAGGATTTAGGAATGAAAAAGGAATTAAATTTTTCCATGGATCAAAGCACTTCTTCAGAAAAGAAAATAAATTTTAATGACTTCATAAAAAGATTGAAAACAGGAAAATCTAATGCTTTAACAGGACCGGATAAAGAAAATTTTGAGATATCTGTTCATCCCAAAGAATCAAATAGGGCCTCTTCTGTACATCAAATGCATGTATCTCTTAGGGTAGATGAAAATAGCAATAACATGACTAGAATCTTTAGAGAACAAGATGATGAGATGAATTTCACCCAGTGTCATACAGCCAATATTCAGACTTTGGTTCCCACATCCAGTGAGACCAGCTTAAGGGAATTTAAAGGTGATGATATTACAATTTATGGCAATGACTTTATGGACTTGACAGTTAATCACACTATCCAGAATTTTCCCTCAGCAGATAATTTATCTAATACAGAAAATCAAACTCAGAATGTCATGATGGATATTCCAACAGCTTATGGAACTAAAGCTCCAGGAAAGAAGACATTCTTAAAGAATAAACTGAGTGCTGCTTTTCAAGACCCTTCTTTCAACCCTAAGGGTGAAATACATACTATCAGAAGTCCTATTACAGAGACAGAAACTCACATAGTCACACAGACTTCTAACCAAGATGCCAGAACATTGGCCATGATTCCAGAATCTATATGTGTGAGCCCAGCTACTCAAGATCATAAAACATTTTTCTGTTCTAGCAGTAATGATGCTATGGAACTAACCAAGTGTCTCTCAGGTATGAGAGAAGAGAAAAATTTACTGAAGAATGAGAGTAATTATTCTAAAATATATCCCAATCCAGATACCATGTCTGTTGTCACAGAGAAAACTGTTTATTTAGGAGAGGATAGCATGGACATTACCAGGAGTCATACAGTTGCAATAGATAATCAGATTTTTAAACAAGATCAGACAAACATACAGAGAGCAGACACACGAGTATCTGAAAAAGAAATGATGCTCCAAAATCTCAAAACCATGTCAGAGGATGAGGAAATAAATATAAATTGTAGCTCAGTTCCTCATGAATTTAAGGGAAGATTACAGCAGAGCCTGGCAAATTCTTCATCCTTTTCATTGACTGACAAAAAGACTGAAATATTCACAGATGAAGATATGGATTTGACTAGAAGCCACACAACTAACCTAGGAAGTCAAGTTCCTCTTGCATCTTACAATCTAACATCTGAGAATACCAGTAAATTTCACTCTCAAAGCAAAAGCTCTTCAAATGAATGGGAAGAAATGACCAAAAGTCATATGGAACCATCCCAACAGCCAGACAAAATATCTAAAAACACCCCAACTGACACCTGGGGCAAAGACAAAGATCAAGTTTTCAAGATTGCACCCTATCTTGACAAAGATTCTCCTCACTCAGCTGATGCTAATCAAGACATAGCAACAAGCCATAATATGGTATACTCTGGTGGAAATCTTGAGAAACAAGTAACACTGGGAAATAGTGGAAATACAGTTTTATGTCAGCAACCTTTATTTCCTACCACAGAGTCATTTTCTGTATTAGAAGGACAGTCTACCATGAAAAATCATAATATTGCTGTTAACAGTTACACAGTGAAATCTGCACCAGGCCAGAATTCTAAACTGCCTGAGCCACTAAGGAAAAGTTTAGGCAATCCCACACTTGACTGTTCTCATGACAAGACAATTATTTGTTCAGAGGAAGAACAAAATATGGATCTAACCAAGAGTCATACTGTTGTCATTGGATTTGGTCCTTCTGAGGTACAAGAATTGGGTAAGACTGATTTAGAAAATACTAACAGCCAGCTGACAACAGTAAACAAACAGATAGCTGTAAAAGTCGAAAAATGTAGTAAAACTCCTGCAGAGAAAATTGGAGTATTTGTTTCTAATGATAACATAGATGTGTTGGAGGACAAAAGTATACAGAAACTTGGATTTCTGAATGAAAAGCAAGATGTCAAAATTTGTGGAAGGAAAAGTGCTGGCAGACTAAAAGTTGATAAGACTATTGTATTTTCAGAGGGTGATGAGAATGATATGGATATCACCAAGAGTTTTACAGTGGAAATAAATCATAAACCTTTATTAAATGAACAAGATTTTCATTTGGTGCCTTTGGCAGGAACTTCTAAAACTGTTCTGTATACGTGTGGGCAAGATGACATGGAGGTCACTAGAAGTCACACAGCTGCTATAGAATGTAAAACTGTCTCACTGGACGAAATCACTAGGCCTGTTGACAAAACTGTAATGTTTGTAGATAATTACAATGAACTGGAAATGACAAAGTCCCACACTGTTTTCATTGACTTCCAAGCAAAGGATAGGACTGTGCTTACAGACAGACCTGACTTTGAACTATGCAAAAGAAAAAGCCCAGAAAAGCCAAGAGTGACATTTCCTTCTGCAGAGGACAGTGTTTTCTTTCCAGAGAATGGTGAAAGTGACCATTCAGCAGCAAAAGTCAACAAGCTAACACCACTGACAGAATGGCCTAACATTGGTCCTATAGAGAAAGCTGTAGGATTTATAGCTGGTGATAACATGGAAGTGCCTAAATCAACCGTTTGGAAAAATGACAAAGATGTACCAAAGCCTGAACTTCTGAATGATACTATATCACGCAAAAGTCAGAGAAGGAAAAGCCTTAGTCTCAAAAATGACAAAACTGCATTTTTCAAAAATGATAAAAATGGTATGGATATCACCCAGAGTTGTACAGTGAAAATAAGTAACAAAAGTGTCCTGGAAGATAGAGAGGATTCCCGTTTGGTGCCTTTGGCAGGAACTTCTAAAACTGTTTTGTATACATGTGGGCAGGATGACATGGAGATGACTAGAAGTCACACAACTGCCTTAGAATGTGAAACTGTCTCACCAGATAAAATAACTACTAGGCCTATGGACAAAACTGTAATGTTTGTAGATAATCACTGTGATCTGGAAGTTACCAAATCCCATACTGTTTTCATTGATTGTCAAGCCACAGAGGAAATTCTTCAAGAGTGCCCTAAATTTGGAATAGCTAAAGGAAAAACCTTGGGTATTTCTTTTCATAATGATGGTCACTCTATTCAAGAACTCACTGAAAAACAAGCACTGGCTGTAGAAAACAAAATTGTTTACTCTGAGCAAAAGCATCATGTGATACCCTCTGTTCCTATTAATACATTGTCTGGGGGTCAAAGTCAGTTAGAAATGATCAAATTCAATAGGACTGTGGATGAGCAGGTCAGGGGGAAAGTTGTAGACCAGGCCTATACATTGGAAAAAGCCAAAACTGAAAGCTGTCAGTTAAATAGTACAGATAGAAGAAACATGGATTTTACAAACAGTCATGCAACTGCTATGTGTAGATCCAGTGATAATTATTCCTGTTTACCAAATGCTATTTCCTATTTTGACAATTTGGAGGGGAATGTCACGTCCTCAGATGATAAAGATGAGAAAGCCAGTAATTGCCCAATGCAAAACGACCTTGTTTATGCAAACAATTTAGCCAATGAATATTACTTGAAATCTGAGGGACTGCCTCTCTCTGCTTCTTGTTCTTTGTTAGAGGAAGAAGTTACTCAAACCATTACCAAAGGACACTTAGACTGTGCTATAACAGTGCTCAAAGATCAAGATCTGATTAAGGAGCCCCAAAATGTGATAGCTAATCAAACTTTAATATATAGTCAAGATCTGGGGGAGGTAACTAAACCTAATTCAAAGCGAGTATCTTTTAAGCTCCCAAAGGATCAAATGGAGGGCTTTGTTGATAAGGCAAAACATAATTTAAAGATGACCTTTGTTGATGATGTCTGTGTGGCTTCTAAGCCTCATCTCTCAACCCAGCTATCTCCATTATCTCAACAAGGACAAATAATTGTGAATAAAGATGAAACAGTATTGTCTAACACTGGAAATAAGGATTTAAATATTGTTATGGGAAATTCTTCTGTACCCACATGTGCAAATGAGTCCAAAATGCTCATTAATGCCCAACAGTATACTATAGCCTGTAAAAAAGAGCTGAGGAAAAATATTCAGGCAGCTAAATACAATACAGACTTCCACAGTAACTCTGACTTGACTAAGCAAGTTATTCACACTCATGCTAATTCTAGAGAAGCATCATCTCCTGAAATTGCATCTAATACTGCAAGTTTTAGTAGTGTCAAATCAGATCTGAATAATTTGAATGGAAAAACTGAAGAATTTTTAGATTTCCAAACTGCTCATATACCACCTTCTCCAGAACAATTACTTGCATTGGTAAATAAGGCACACAATCATATGAGTATAGAGCAAGCTACAGAAATACATAATATTAACACAGTGTCCAGCAATGTTGAAGATGATAGAGATAAAGAAAATAAAATTTCTCATAATGGAACTGAAACTGTCTCTGTACCACTCACAGTTGTAAAAGATAAAGTAAGGAGACGTTCTTTGGGAATATTTTTGCCCAGATTGCCAAATAAGAGAAATTGTAGTGTCACTGGTATTGATGACCTGAAGCAGATTCAAGGAGATACAGCTGATTTAAGTCACTTAGAAACTCAACCAGTCTTCAGTAAGGAATCAAGCATTGAGTTTGTTGCAACTAAGCTGAACTTAAGTCCATCTCAATATATAAATGAGGAAAACCTTCCTATATACCCTGGTGAGATTAATTCCTCAGACTCTATTATCGTAGAAACTGAGGAAAAGGCTTTGATTGAGACATATCAAAGAGAGATTTCACCATCTGAAAATAAAATAAGAGAAACCAGTAATAGCCAAAAAAGAACCTGGACACAAGAAGAAGATGATATTCAGAATGAGACAAAAATCAGAAAAAGTGAGATTAGGTTTATTGATACTCCACAAGATCAGGAGGTAAGCTCTGTCTTGAACTAAGGAATGTTATTTATTTTTTTAAATATGTATTCATTTATTTTGAGAGAGAGAACACATGTGCATGAGCAGGGGAGGGGCAAAGAGAGAATCCCAAGCAGCCTCCACACCAGTTCAGGGCTCTAACTCATGACCCTGAGATCGTGACCTAAGCAGAAATCTTTAGTCAGTAACTGACTGAGCCACACAGGCGGCCCTTGAATTTTAATTTTAAGGCAGAAGTTGATGAGCAGGAATTGATTATTTCCAACTATAGGGCTGGGGAAATAATCGTGTGTGGCATGTTAAGAAATTATTTGACTAACAATTTGAAGTGACAAATCACAAAAAAATGAAATGGGAAGTTGTATAAAAATTAATGCTGAAATTGTGCAATTTGTCATTGTGTGTTTGCATATGAGAATCTCCAGGCAGGGTGTATGTAGTTTGAAAAGTTATCTTTAGTGTTCTAAATATCTAAAGGGTAAAAAAACAAAACAAAACAACTTTTTGTTATGCAAACTGCATAAAGAAAAGCCTGCTTGAATTTTCTTGGCTAATGAAGATATGTGAAAGCTGAGAGTCCATTTCTTTAGTGAATGAGAGAATGCCTAAGTCAAGCCCAGTATCTCAAGGTGAAGTAAGTGAGATTCTGAATTTATGAAAGAGGTCATAGATTTTTTTTTTTTTTTGAAGTTGAAGGAATACTCATTTAGATAACTTGGAGAGAATGAAACCTATCACTCAAATTGAGTTGTATAGGTGGAGACATAAAGATTAGAAAGTATCAGAGATTGATAGAAAACAGAGTTTAAATGTTATTAAGAAATATGTGTGTGAGCTTAGAAAATTATTTTAGTACTTCTATAATATGAGGTCCTGAGGAAATGAAGCTTTGAAGTAGTATCAGTGATAGAAAATTTAAAACTAAAAAGATTCCATAAAAATTATTAATATTTTTTTAATGCTTATTTATTTTTGAAAGAGACAGAGACAGAATGCAAGTGGGTTAGGGGCAGAGAGAGAGGGAGACACAGAGTCCAAAGCAGGCTCCAGGCTCCAGGCTCCGAGCTGTCAGCACAGAGCCTGATACGGGGCTCGAACCCACGAGCTGTGAGATCATGACCTGAGCTGAAGTCGGACTCTCAACTGACTGAGCCACCCAGGCGCCCCCAAAATTAGTATTATTTTGTTCAGTAGATAGTGAATATCTGCTGTGTCCTGGGTATTGTTTAGGAGCTGGGAATGAATCAATGAGAATTTACAGAAAAAAAAATCAGTTCTCATGGAGATTACATTCTAACATTTAGACCAAGAACATGTTGTCTTCAAAACTTATGTAAGTAGTAGATGAAAATGGCGTTTAAGGCTGTAAAGTCAAATGGCTAAAATGGTAAAAGCAAGACCACATCCCTTATTTGACATCAGCCAAAGGAATGTTGGTCACCTGGGGAAACAAGTACTAAAGCCTGGAAGTAAGTTTCTTTGTGCTCTAGCCAGAGCCACTATGTATAGCCAATTTTCTATGCTGGTTTATTTCAGCGTGGTAGCCCTGACCCTGGTGGCTAGTAGTTAAATAATTGGATAGGTCAACATTTGTCAGTTCATTGGATCTGTCTTTAACTTAGACACATCTGAGAAACCATTTGCTTATGCGGTATAATGCACAAGGTGATTTCTATATATTCTTAAATAAATTACTTTAAAGGTTTAATAAGTTGCTTATTACTTATTCTAATTTGTTACTGAGGTATTTCATATAAATTATAGATAAGTTTTATGTTAAGAAGTAGTATTTGTTAGCATTTAACAAACATTTAGTTATTTATAGGTATACAAAGTCCTAACTTCATGCTGATGATGTTCCTTAATTGATAATTTCAGATTTTTGATCACCATGCTGAAGGGGATATAGATAAAAATGCTAACAGTGTATTAATAAAGAGCCTAAGCAGGACACCATGTAGTTGCAGCAGTTCTCTGGATTCGATCAAGGCCGATGGGACTTCTCTGGACTTCAGCAGTAAGATCTTCATGAAGGCTAAATAATAGAAGTCATCTGCTTACTTGACTAATAATAAATGTATTTCAGTTTAGGAGATATTTAAAATTTTTTTAAGCTTTTTGGGAATTATAGCTAATTGATAAGTAAAATATTTAGTCTCTTTTTAATTCTTAGTAATTTTAATAAATTGAGAAGTGATAGACTATAAACGGTAAGAGAAACATTGAATGGGGCCTTAAAATTGTGATATACTTTGCACTGTAAATGACTCTCTTCCCCAAAAGATCCTAGTGGATATCTTCAATAGAATGAACCACACATACAAACCTGAATGATGGTTAAAATTAAGCTTACAATTCAGTTTTGACATGTTCATCTCCTGAATTTGCTTTACCTCTAGCACACCACAATAGTCAAATGGAATCACAGTTCCTCAGAGACACTATTTGTGAAGAGAGCTTGAAAGAGGTATGTTAAAATACTTACGTTTCTGTTGCAACTGTTTTCCTCTTTTTGTTTTTAAATTTTTTTAGGGGAGCTTGGGTGGCTCAATCGGTTAAGTGTCCAAGTCTTTGATTTCGGCTCAGGTCATGATCTCACAGTTCAAGAGATCAAGCCCCAGGCTGATCAGCTCTCTCTCTCTCTCTCTCTCTCTCTCTCTCTCTCTGCCCCTCCCCTGCTCACTCTTTCTCTCTCAAAAAAAAGAAACTTAAAAAAATGTTTTTTTAATTATGAAATATTTCAACTATACAGAAAACAAGTGTTTTTATTAAGGACCCAGCATGTTCATTAGTCATGTGGAGTAGAAATCACAATTAGAAGACCTATGTTTTATAATTTGTTCTTAATTCTATTGTTACTGAATAACATTAAGAAATACTATTAGATAAAATCTTTTCATGTATAGTACAGATATTTAGATATTTCCACAAATATACTGTAAGCTATTTAGAAACAAAGTAGGGTTGGGGCGCCTGGGTGGCGCAGTCGGTTGAGCGTCCGACTTCAGCCAGGTCACGATCTCACGGTCCGTGAGTTCGAGCCCCGCGTCAGGCTCTGGGCTGATGGCTCAGAGCCTGGAGCCTGTTTCCGATTCTGTGTCTCCCTCTCTCTCTGCCCCTCCCCGTTCATGCTCTGTCTCTCTCTGTCCCAAAAATAAATAAACGTTGAAAAAAAAAATTTTTTTTTAAAAAGAAACAAAGTAGGGTGTTATAGTCAAAAAGAACTCACTTTGAATAGTTGTGCAAACTTTTTTTCTTTCCTCAGAAACTCAAAGATGGGAAAATTACAATAAAGGAGTTCTTTATACTTCTTCAGGTCCACATTTTGATACAGAAACCCCGACAGAGCAATCTCCCAACCAGAGTAAGTGCAATTTCTTGACAAAATAGTTATCTCAGTCAAAATGTATTGTACTTGTTTATCAGACTGCATCAAAATGTGTGTTTATACAAAACAGAAAAAGGATCTAAGGAAGCATATTTTCCTGCAGAAAGTTTTTCTATAGTGGGTATATTGTGCTTAGCATAAAAATTGATTTTTTGTAGTGTCATAGATTTTGATAAGGTGAAATTTTATTTTTTCTCATTCCTTGCTATGTATTTTGTCTTTGATCCTTTTTCTTGAACATATACTTTTTCACACTATTATAAAAATCCAAGTATAAAAAATTTCTAATAAACATTTTTCAAAATCAAAATTATGTAAGATTATACAATGTTTGAATTATATAATCAACAAACTCAATTTAAAAGATTAATAGAAAAATTTAATAGGAATATTTTTTTTCTCTTAAGTCTGTCGAACATTTATAAAAATTAGTTATGCCCTTGACCACAAAGAAAGTATTAACAGACTGAAAAAAAAATGGAGATTTTACGGACAATATCACCTGATCTTAATCCAATAAAATTAGAACTAATAAAAGGACTAAAACATTCTTAACCTTCTTGGAAATTGAGAAATACACTTGTAGATAACTGTGAGATCAGAGAGGGAATCAAGACCATTAAGAAAGCACAGTAAAGGAGAATATTTAATACAAATCTATGTGAAATACAGCAAAAATTATACTTAACAGAAAATTAAAAGTATTAGATATCATTGTTATTATAGAGAGAACCTAAAAATAAAGGAATTTTTAATGCTCACTTTAAGAAATTGGAAAATGAGGGGCGTCTGGGTGGCCCATTTGGTTAAGCATCTGACTCTTGATTTCAGCTCAAGTCATGATCTCATGGCTCATGAGTTCAAGCCCCGCATCGGGATCTGTGCCGTCAGCATGGAGCCTGCTTTGGATCCTCTGTCCTCCTCTCTACCTCTGCCCCACTCATGCATGCGTATACACCATGCACTCACAAACTCTCTCAAAAATAAATATTGAAAAAAAAAGGGGCGCCTGGGTGGCTCAGTCGGTTAAGCGTCCGACTTCAGCTCAGGTCGTGATCTCGCGGTCTGTGAGTTCGAGCCCTGCGTCGGGCTCTGTGCTGACAGTTCAGAGCCTGGAGCCTGCTTCAGATTCTGTGTCTCTCTCTCTCTCTCTCTCTGACCCTCCCCTGTTCATGCTCTGTCTCTCTCTGTCTCAAAAATAAACATTAAAAAAATTAAAAAAAAAAAAA